TTAGTATCAATATCTTAAAAAATTCTCCGAAAATGAACATTTGAATCACCAAATCAATCTATTGTGAAGTTACATTGTTAAATTAATAATTGTTGAATTACTATTATTAAAAAATTTTGCGATTTCTTACCTGAAAGTAATCTAAATATTATTAAAAAATAATGCGCCCTAACAAAATATGCAATGTCATATCTCGTAAAAATAATATACTGTAAAATTACAATAAAAATAGTTCCATTCCAATATTCGATTCCAAAATATGGAACTTTCTGTTCAAGTACAATAATTCGGTCACCCATTGTATGGTGGCATAGCAAGAGTACACGTAAGAGATCGTTCGAAAGCAGCAGGCGATTAAGACGTAGGAAGTTACGAATTATCCTGGTGCATACTTATACGCGTAGCTATTTCATCGTATATCACGGATGCCACCGTTCAAGCCCACGAATTCACGGCAAAACCTTGCTATTACCTTATTGCTGTTTTGCATTTTCACCATAGGAATAGTCTGCCCACGGAACCAGTAGTGCGCGGGATAACGGCCAAGTACCGAGGTGAGTTCGTGTGGGTGCACAAGCATAATTGTGGAGAATGCCAGAGCAAGGCGTGGTGAGGCCAGACCCAGGACGGTGTTTAAACTATTCCCGACAAGGCCGTACAGTCAAGAGCAAATCTGGTTTCCCTAGTGAAAATATGGCAACGAAGGAAAAGGGGACCGTACGTTTAAACTTTCTGGGATTTCTGGCTACTTCTACATTTTGCATCAAGAATACGAATTTAGGAAACGTGGTATTTCGAGTATGTGGGCTTTGAGAGGATCTACGGATATGAGACGGGTTTAGAGAAGATTTTAGTCGCTTAGGATTTCTGGGTACTTCTACATTTTGAGTCAAGACCTATACGAATTTAGGAAACATGGTATTTGGAGTCTGTGGACTTTGAAAGATTCTCCGGATATCAAATGGGTTTAGAGGTTATGGTCGCTTAGGAATTTAAGCATATAGGTATTTAGGTACTTCGATATTTTATCAATATAAGAGTTTAGGATCTGGCGATCTATGACTTTTGAATATGGAATTTGTGGATTTAGGAATTTAAGAATCTTAAAATGAGATCTATAATTAGAGATCTAAGAGCGTAGTTATTTGGGAAACTTGCGATTTGGAGATACAAGGACTCTACGAATATGGGAATCTAAGGATTTGGAGGTATACTAACATAAAAATATAAGAATTTATGGATCCACATGTTTGGAAATCTTCAAACGTGGAAATCTAGAGTTTGTTGAATGTAGGATCTAAGGATACTTGGGAAGCTTAGGATTATGGAGACAAAAAGATATGGGAAACTAGGGATTTGGTGATTATGAACTTGTAAATATAAGACTTTGTGGATTCAGAGATTTAAGAGACTTTAAATGTGGTGATCTAGAAATTTGTTGAAGTAGAGATCTGAAGGTGTACATATTTGGAAAGCTTGCGATTTGAAGATATAAAGATATGGTAATCTATAAATATAGGAATCTAGGGATTTGTAAGTCTAGGAACTTGAAAACACAGGAATTTGTGGGTCCAGAAATTTGAGAACCATAGAATTTGAGATCCTAGGTGTTTGTAAATTGATAGATTTAATAGTGTATATATTTGGAAACCTTAAAATCTGATAATATAATGCTAGTGAAATCTACGAATATGCAGATTCGGTAAATATGAGAATCTATGGAAATTTGGAAATTTATGAGCAGTAAATCTAATGGTTTGAGAATAATATATGCGAAATAATAAAATTACTTTCTTTACATTCTTAGACCACTTTCATAATCAAGAGCACACAGGTACCCATACTCAAAGTATTTCATCCGAGTGTATTTGTCCCGTTATCAAATAGTTGGTGACAACCCTATCCCCCAAGAAAGATGATACTCCACAAACTAGTAAAGAAAAACAGACACGTTTCATGCAGTTACTCGAATATCTTCCTCGGCACATATTGTCCGCTCACGATTATTATCACGGTTCAGAATGACCGCGTTGACGTCCGTGAAACGTGTAATTTGTAACAGGAGAATGTGCTTTACATTGTGCAAAACGGGTTACACGGATACAGTTAGCGATTCGTTGATAGGCAGATTTTTCTAACGGCAGCCGTGCAATTGCACGAGTGGCAAATTATAGATATTATAACCTGTTCCCTTCGTGGACGCGAATATTGTCTTGGATTCGAAAGGGAGCGAACGCGTTCCTGATACAAATTTTTCCATAGGTTTCTTTGTCGAGGATAAGCGAAGTATTTAGTTGTCTACGAACGTATTTACAGTTATAAACGTTTTCATCTTTAGTTGCAACGTATTTTGTTACCAGGGTAGGACCCAGCAAAAAATATTTCGATAGTCATTTATTCTGAACAATTATGATAATGTTGGTATAGTATATGTATACACATATATACTATACCAATAATAAGTATAATATATATGTACACACACACATACACATATATATACATATATATAATATATATAATATATCTAGAGACTTATTTTAAATACAATAATTCGTGGTGAAAGAGGTAATAATTTTGATCGTTAGTTTTATTAAGGAATGCAAGGACTACAGCGGATTGCAATGATTAGAAATTGGTTAACGCGCTGCGTTACAATCGCAATGGCTACGAATTCCAAAAACGTTTATTTACATCTGATCGGGAACAGTAGTTTCTTTTAGAAAGTTGAACGAGCGACAGAAAAAGCGTTGATGAGTGCCAATGAAAGACGTATTCGAAGAGTACGGTGAACGTAGCAAATTTCATATTCGAGGTCATTCGCTTTTTTTGCGATCATCAAGTGTCCAACAATGGCAACGTATTCATCGAGAAAGGAAACTTTTAATCCAGTCCGGACCCGTTCGTCGTGGTTAAGCGACATTTTATACCCGGATTGAAAATTTTCACTGTTACGATTGCACGAATACTTGGGACCCTGGAGAATCGAGTTACATTGCATTTTTTGTAGCGTTCATGATCTCCGCATGATACGGGGATCCAAAATAATGGAAAACGTTATTAAGTAAAAGGTATCGTACAGGGCGTTCCATAACTGGTAATACAACCGCGAAAAAAGTGATTCTACGTATAAAATTAATAATAAGTAGAAAGTGTAAAAGAAAATTGTAAAATGTAAAATAAAATTTGTTGGTATCTAATTTGATTTGGAGAAAATTGAATTCAACACTTTTTTAATTCTTCTAATTTCTGGACTTCTAAATTTCCAAATCTTAAAACTTCTAATTTTGCAAGTTTACATATTTATATATTCCCAAATTTTAAAGTTATAAAGTTTGGGATATTTGCAAATTCGCAGATGTCTACATTTTCAAATTTTCAAGCATTCAAATTTCCAAATTCCAAATCTCCACATTTCTAATTCTTACGCGTCCATATTTCTAAATATCTAGGTTATTAAATCTGCAAATTTTCAATTTCAAAGTTTCCAAACTACCAATTTCCTAAATTTGTAAGCTATCAAATTTCAGATTATGAAATTTCTAAATTTTCGATTTCTCAAGTTTCCATGTTCCAACAATTCCAAATTATCAGATATTTTTAAACCGCAAAATTTCAAAAAGTCTCAAGTACGCGAACTACCAAATTCCCAATACATCCGGCATCGAGATCGTGGGCGGACAAAGACACGGATGAGACGAGCGCGAAGTGAAATCACGGTTGATCGTCCAGTCGGTACAGGAAATCGTGTTTAGCCCACTTTTGGCCATTAATCGAAACTAGCGAACCGACTCGATTATTCAGCGACGGTAGGAGATCGCGTGCACGTCGTGTGAGCCGTGGACACACGTGTGGGTGCACGTAGGTGCGTGTGGGTGCGTGTTCGTGTAGACGATTGCAGGGAATGCCAGAGTAGGGCGTGGTAGAACCGGTGGCCAACTTTCCTCGGCAAGGCCGTACGTGTTCTGGCAGCAAGTTGTCAGCGAGACATGTTTGTCCTTTCTGCTCGCACCGTTGCGAACCGAACGAGAGAAAGTGGGAAAAGGTCGAATGAGTTACAAAATTGTAACACTATTACCGCAATAACTAGGAACGCGCTCTGGTTCTCCACGACCGATTGCACTCCGATCGAACCAGCCAATTTATTCTCAAATTGCAACATTTAGAAAATCTTGCTCAACATTCGATCATTGCTTTAGTTGCAAATTATAGCTTTTGTAAATACAGTTACTCGCGATAATATCCGGACACTGCGCTAATTCTGTATTTGTTATTGTATGCAACGGATGATTACTTTATCATTGGTAGGTCTTAAAATGCACATTACAGGGAGAGATCTCAGTACAAGTTTCTAGCGATACAATAGTTTAACGGTTTTTCGTTCCTTTACATTCGTAGTTTCAAATCAATTCTTTACCCGTAGCGGCAATAAGGCCCAAGGAGTCATTAAATTCTGTCGAGTATTTTTTAGTTTAATATTAGTCACATCTGACTGTCAGAATCCTGAACCTTCGCAGTAGAGTCTTTTGTTTGCAGTTTTCAATTCATGTCGTGGTATTGCTTGGCTGTATTACATGCTACGGTCACTTTGAAGAAAAAAAACCATTTCATAGGACACTGGCATTTCCATCTTCACCCGAATTTTAGTTAAGCCTATAGAAAATCAGAAACTGTTTTTCCTCACTAATGTCACAAAATTGACGCCCATTCCGAGCTTTTGTAAAACGTAAAAAATCTTCAAAGATGCACTCTTGTACAGTGATCAAGTACGTGGCAAAATAAACTCTAGTCTAAGTCAAATTCGTTTCTTAAATACAGTCCACTTACTTATTCAGGATCCTAATGATTCCACGCATCGTTTAATCATCACTTACTGCTGGGGATGCTGCGACGCACATACAATCACACTACTTTAGTTATCATACTACTTATTTTACAAAATCATTGACACGTACAGGAATCATTTACTCTTTGTATTTTACTTAGGAGTCAAAACTAACCCTGACTAGTTTCCTAACTACGTCCTTGTAGTTCGGCTACGTCCGTGTCCAAAAGTTCTAAAACACATATCATAATTATAAGTAGAAATTTGTTTTTGAAAGCATTAAATTTAATCAGACTTATTGAATATACAATTTCATATTGTATACTTATATTCCATATTAATACAAATCTTATAGTTCTCTTGAATTTAAACTTTGATTATGTTTAGACTATGGTGCAACAATTTTTGTACCATATCCTGTAATAACATCTTAAAATTTGAACGTACTCAATCGACTTACTTTTTTAACGTAAATGAAATCAGACCAAAAGGTTGGACCTGAAAAATTCCCAAAAATGATGGGAGTATTCGGTCAGCAGAGTTGACCCTTCAGCAACGTTCACTGTATCTTCTTGCAGCATCGAGCCAACGATTCGCAACACATCCTCCACGGGATTAGTATAGGTTTGTAGGTGATTATCAAACACCTATAATTGACACCGCTCGGCGGCGACGATGTTAAACGAGCCGCAATGCAATTACATGCCGTTGTAATCACCGTACTGTTCACTCGATGCTGAGTCACAATCAGCTTGCTCTCCGAGCCGTACGTATCGCTTTGCCATTTAATCTGAACGTAGTAATTTCACAGCCGCACGAGATCGATCGATCGTGCTCGCAAACACGTACTCGCTTCTTACCCGATAGAAAAGCTCCTGAATACCTTCACATTTTCATCACGTTTGTTCATATTTAGTTTTTTGTAATAGTTATCGAGATAATTAGTTGAGTATTCGGATGAGAAGCGGAATTCTGTTTATGAACATTCAAAAGGACACATCAGAAAATTTAAGTTATTGCATTACCAAGAATCTAAATTGTCAAATTCTCCTGTCGTTAGATTTTCAGATACGCTAAAATTTTAAAGTCGGAATTTCTAAATTTTCAAATTTCTAAGTTCGTGAATTTCTGGATTTGAAAATGTCCAAATCTTCCAGTTTTCAGTGTCTCTTATAAAAACCTCAAATGACGTTTCAAATTCTGAAATTCTCAGACCACATAATTATTAAGCTTGTATAGTTTTAAGTCTCCAGTATTAAAAGTTGCAAACTTCATTTGTGAAATTTCTAAATTTTCAAGTCTTGCAATTCCTACATTAACAAATATTCAAATTTCCAAATTGCTAAATTGCAAAATTGCTAAGTTTCCAAATCGCCAAATTGCCAAATCAACAAATCTCTAAATCTCCAAAAACTCTAAAACTCTAAAACTCTGAAACTTTAAAACTCTAAATCTCCAAATTACAATATTTCTGTATTTCCAAATGGCTAAATTGCCAAATTCCTACATTTCTAAATGTCCAAATCTCCAAATTGTTAAATTTCTAAATCTCCAAATCTCTAAATCTGTAAACTACTAAACATCCAAATTTGCAAGTTTCGAAGTTTCCAAAGCTTCCAATTACAATTTTTCCAAATTCCCCAGGAAACACTACTGCTAAGACACTGCCGGAAGATCTCAGCGTTGTACAACCGCCTTCCATCTTAAACGTACTAGTTTTCAGTCACCTAGAAAAGGTCACCTGAATTCTTCGCAATCGTCCAGCTTCGAATTTTTCGCGTTCGAACATTTTAAACCGATTATTGATTTCTTGTTTTCCTTTCCTAGGTTTCAGCAACAGGTAAGAATTCGAACGTTACAAAGTGCGATTGCTTTGTGATATCTCGAATGGAAGGAAATTCCTGCCAGTTACTGGAATGGAACACGAGAAAGTGAACTCTTTTTTGACTTTATAATTGCGCCTGGAAATTGGTGTGTTGGTATTTTAATTTGTTCCACTCCGTGTGCACGAAACGCGGAAATTTTATGTGGAACTCGCTAGAAAAGTAGCCGCTGCTATTTGCCTCTCTTTCTTTTTCGATCGAGGTATTTCTATTTTTGCGTTTTAACCAAAATTCCTTCTAACGACGTATCACGAGTAACAACACATAACGAACGTGTAAGAACCTATCACAATTATATTACTTATAGTAACGTGAATAAAAGAAATAACTAGTATTAGGATTTCTGACGGGTTTGTTTACGAACAAATAATGATTAAGTATTATTTTAGTATGATTTCTCTAGTTTTCAAAGTCGCAAATCGATCATTATAATTATCCGCTAAAAAGGAGTCAAAAAGTATTTGTGGCAGATTTATGAATTATGTGATTCTTGTGAATAAGAATTATTTGTGATTTATGAATGATTAAAGATATCACTTCAAAAAGTGGAGATACAATAAGAGGTAACACTCAGTAAGGAAACTACTTTTTAAAGAGAGATAGAGGGCACATTCTACTGAAATCCCTCAGCCAAATGAACCGAGGGTAAGATTTCGCGGTATTTTGAAATGCGCATGCGCGTAGCGTGTAAGTATGGCGGTCGACAAAGAACGGTTTGAAATTGCAGTAATTTATTTGTAATAAATATTTTGTCATTTCTCTGTAACACGTTCATCTGTATCTTCTTGTGATACATAGCTCATTTCTTTATAAGTTATTTATAATAATCATTTCTGTAATATATATGCTCAAAGTATATTGTGTAAAGTAATCATTTTAGTATGTCTTTCTTTTTCAACTCAATGCTGTAAAATTGATGCAAATACTTCAAAAATCAATATTAGTACTATAGAGAAAATTTACGACACATTTCTAATTATTAGAGGTTGACATGAAATTCATTTGATTTAAACTTCCCGCTCATTTGCACAACCAATTTAAAGGGACAGAATTTTTGAACATCAAAGGTGCCGCCCGTAGTGTCGCCTTTTGTTGTATCACTACTCTTTAATCACTTTGGTATTACTGATTTGTACGGGATCGCAATTAACGGGTTTGAAGCGCATTTCGCGAACGTGCGTTAGAAATGATCGGCGATTGATTGTACAGCAAACATTGGTTGGTGTGACATCTAACTACGATTTGATCGTGGAACGCTGATGCCAGACAAAAACAGGGAAGAAGAATGTCCCTCTCCAAGATGTTTAGTCGTATTCAAGGTGCTGGTAATCGTTTCTTCTAACAGAATCTTACATAATCTCGTACACCATCGGTTGTTTAAGCTGACAGACGTGCCTTGTGCCTTTCGGTATCATTTCCCGTTTTCATCCACCTTTCTACACGATTTCACTGATTCATTAATCTACATTTCTTTCTTTGAAAATTAAGGAAGAACAAATTTTCTGCTCTTTGCCAATGCGTCCTGTAACACAGTGAAAATGGCGACAATTACTCAATATTTTTCTTGCGTACAATAATACAGCAAATGCAAGTATTATAACAAGCTTCCCAAAAATATAGTTTGGAGAATATGGATGAAGCTCAAACGAAGAGGACGTTGCATAGAAATATAATCGAAATCTCACATTTGCGGCTGCACTTTTCTCCGGTTGACCAAGCGCGAACATAGAAAGAAAAAAGTAACATGGCACACGGACAACGTTTCTTAGTCTTTGACGTCTTTTCGTTCCCCTATACTAGGTTTTACATCCGGATTTGCGTGACCTTTCACTGATCGAACAACAAGCGTGCAGCAAGCGAAAACGAAGCACAGAAAAAATGGCGCGCGTGGTCGCCACGTGAGTTACAAACGAACCTTTTTCGCCGATCGCCGGTGGACAGAAAAAGGCCGCCGCAATGCAGGTTCACAAAGATTCGAAAATTTTTGACTTTGTGAATATGGAAGGTTAGAAACTCGGATACCTGTGAACTTTAAATTTGGGAATTGGAAAATTTGAAAAATTGGAGAATTTGAGAGTTGAAGGATTTACAAGTTTGGGGTACAGTTCCATCGATGAAATAAAAAGTACCTAAACTACATAGAAATGAAAAATCCCTAAAAAGATTCTCGGCGACAAAGTCTCGTTTACTCTCCAACCTACCTCGAATTTTTTTTACAGTTCTTACTGAATATATCCGCAAATATTGATTTTAGAAAAAAAAGTTCGGAACAAAAAATGAAGCTCATAAAAAGATCTACAAGAAAGATTCTATACATTTTCTGCATAAACCTATTATTTTGGCTGTTATGACACAGAATAGTGTGGACGAAAGTTCCCCTTTCATTCCTGCGTGCGTGTGTATGTATTATACTTGTTTTTTCTTCATGATAGTCAAAATAATAGGTATACATAAAAAATATATAGAACATTTTTTGTAGAAGTTGTTAAGAGTTTCAGTTTTTGTTTGAAACTTTTTCCTCTGCAGTCAATTCTGTCGAAGATATTTAATAAAAAGTGTCAGAAGGGGGCTTTCAATGTGGCTGGAAGCGAACTTCGTCGCTAAAGTCATTGGAGAATTGAAAATTGGAAAAATTCATAGACATTTAATCGGGAAAATGAAAATTTATGAAGCAAAATAAACTATCGTTGCAACGGAACGCCAAACCTTACTGGGAGTGAAATCGGATCTGAATCGATAACATCGAATTGTTTCTGTTCTACGCGACCGATTCGTAGAAGAAAACGCACGTTACGTTTGACATTTGTCTGGCATTTCGAAAGCACGCGAGCCGTCCGTGTCGCTCGTGACAAATCATAATGTCGGACGTACGCTGACAATTCGAGTAACGATGAAAAATGATGCGTGCATGGCAATACTGTTTTTCATTCTAGAAAAAATCGGCTTCTATTGTTCTTGTTTTGATGCGTGACGCGGGTGGTTACTCGATGTCTCAAGTCTTACACCATCGGGAAACAATCATAGAACTCGAACGCATGAAAACGGTACAGCCAGTACCGACTTTAAAGGAGATTAAGATCCTAACCCTTTGCACTGGCGTTTATTTTGCCATTTTAAATGTCCCTCAAAGGGAACAACCGAGTGCAAAAGACTAATTTCTAGAAAAAACAATTACACACAATAATAATTGTACATAGAACATTTCCCAAATTTTTGTCGGCATCAGAATTTTTTTTGTAAAAGGAGTTAATTCACCCAGGCGTTTCGAAGAGTTACAGCTTTTACTTGTCCACATTTTCAAAGTCGTAATTATAAAATTTCTGTATTATTACTGAAGAGTGTGCATTAGCAGGAAATATCTGCGATTGGATTGGATAAGACTAGATTAAATTATTTTTCAGAGTCATTCAAGATATTTTTAAGAGGTTACTCTGATAATGGAAAATAAAGCAAGAAGGGATCAAAACTGCTGGCGTACTGGCCAGAAATGAGTTTAATATGTACTTGGTTTGAAGTAGAATAGCAACTGCCCGGTAAGTTTAACAAACGACTGTAGCTTTAAGCGGGGGAGGGCAATACCTTTAGACTGATGAAAATAAGCTGATTTTTGTGAATTTTTTTGTATAGGATATCTTTGTTTTGCGTTTTTGAAATTTCAGGTATAATTTATTATAACTATTGCCTATTACACAATATTTTTTGTTTTTAAATACATTTAAAAATGGTGGCATTATAACAGTCCTTCCTAGAAGTGTTTGGGCGCGTCTCGTGAATCGGTGTGGGTTCTAGCTTTAGATCCATTGGTCTGAAACAAGTTTGCAGACAATGTTTCGAAAACTAACATTCACAGTTAGTAGATGAACCTTATAAATGTGCAAAATATGTAAAATTGAGGAAATGGCGCGCTTTTAAAGAAAAACTTTGAATTTTATTGAAAATTTTTGCAATGTTTTGCAATAAAAAAGGACTTTAATGTTCAATTTATTTCATAAATTTAGGTTCATATGTTAGATACTATTGTCATGGATATGTGCAAAAAATTTGAGCGCGATTGATAAACTAGTTTTTGAGATATCAGCCACACCAATTGTAAAAATGTAGTTTTGAAAAAAACGCGTTTAAAGTTTCAGTTCTCCGCATTGAACGCGTGTATACCCGCGGCGCTAATCGGTTATAACTTCAAAAGGCCTTCGTATTTCACTTTAAAATTTTGAGACAATATTCTTAAGATGTTAC